CGAAATGGAAGTAAGCTCAACAATTATGAAACAAGAGATTCCTCGAAACCCAACTTTTCTTCGTATATACCTCAGCTGGCCTAATGCAGCAACCTGTGCCTACGGTTGCATCAGAAACTTATATTCTTAATTCACTTTGTTGCGCACCTGATAATTGATGGGAATGTAAACAGAATTAGACTCAAGACATTTAGCATCAGCAGAATTTACCTGGACGCGGAAAGTTCCGTGAATTGCTCGTTCCCTTCCAGACTGCTCTGTGAGTCGAGATCGCTGTCGTCTGTTAGCTGAGGAAGCGAGTCGGCTTGAGAAGGTATATCAGTAGATCGTTTATCCTTGTTTATTCGTTCGGCTTCGTTTGGCTTGACTTCCGTCAAAATATCGTCTTCCTCATCTTGCCCATTTGCATTTTTGCTTATTTCACTCGCCCCTTCGTCGTCGTTGTCTTCCTCCTCCTCCTCATCCTCATCCTCCTCTTCTGATTCTACAACATTTTTTCTTTTGGGAACATCTTCCACATTTGTTTTAGAGCCCATTTGAACATCTCCTGGCCTCTCTTTATCATCATGGCCAGGCTTTGAGGTTGAAACGGCGTTGTGGTCCTTTTCCTTGCCCCTAATCTCGTCCTTCTCCTTTTTAAGCAATTTGGTGACAGAATGGGCTACTTTTTTGGCTATCACCGAATCTTCATTGTCTGGACATTGGATTATTTGTGTATGCGTGTTTGAAGAATGAAGGAAAGGCATAACATTTCTAATAAAAGTACCGCAATAAAATTTTAAGGAGTGAGGAGAAAATAAATCAGGCAAAGTGGTAGCCAGATATAAATTTTTTTAATTGAAGGTATGAAGGCCAAGATGGTGTGGCCTTTTGTGTGGTTGCAGTCTCCTTTCGTTGTTTAAAAGTTGTTTGACCTTGTTTTCGAAACTTGGTCATTTTGTTAGGGAGACTCTGGTTCAAGTATTTATCTCTATCTGCTACTCGATGTGTTATTACTCCTCCTCTGCGGCTGGGTGACTAATTCGAGGCTAAATCCTCTGAGCAAGTCTCATGGTCAGGCCTTTTCCACATGGACCACGTCTCTTATAAAACCTACTGTCAGCCCACTAGCTCGCATCGTCTATCCTGTTTCTATCTCTAATACCAAGGCTATGACTTCCCATGACCTAGTCTCTTGTGTTCCAACCCACAAATGTTGTGGTTAAACCTTAAACCTAACCAAAGCAAGCATTAACACAACATTTGTTGGTTGGCACACAAGAAACTGGCGCATGACAAGTCATAGACTTGGTATTAGAGATAGAAACAGGATAGACTCGGCAGCGATTGGAGCTAGTTGGCTGGGAGTAGGTTTTATAAGAGACGTGGTCCATGTAGCAAGACATGACCATGAGAATTACTCAGAGGCTTTAGCCTCGAATTAGTCACCCAGCCGCAGAGGAGGGGTAATAACACCTCGAGTAGCATATAGAGAGAAATACTTGATGTATTCACCCTATTTCGTCTAAGGTGATGAAGGACTGGTAGTAGAATTTTTCCACAATTATATGAGTTT